ACCTCGTCTGATGTATGCTTTTCCAGGTGGGGCCAAGTTTTTATATTGGATGCACTATCTAGATACAAAGCAGCTGATGCTCGTGAGGCTGAAAATATAGTGGAACGAGTTACTCCACGGCTTCAACATGCTAATTGTGCAGTTGTACTTTCAGCTGTTAAGGTAACAAGCTGCCATTGTTGGTGTTCGCTTCATGTATTTTTATTGTGAATGCCTTTGTTAGCTATCTACTGGTCATAATTCAATCATTTCTCACATTTCTGTTTCCTCTTTCTCCTAATAGATGATTCTCCAACAAATGGAAATTATAACCAGCACCGATGTGGTTCGAAATCTTTGCAAGAAGATGGCTCCTCCTCTCGTGACATTACTCTCTGCAGAACCGGAGATACAGTATGTTGCTTTGCGTAACATCAACCTAATTGTACAAAGACGTCCTACGATCCTTGCCCATGAGATTAAGGTAAATGGAAATATCCTGCCTGCTTGATATAAATTTGCAGACTTGCATAATCCCTAGGCATGCTTCACATTTGTTATTTTGTGACTGAGGAGAGATGCTTATCAAACACTTGTTCTATTATGTCAGGTTTTTTTCTGCAAGTACAATGACCCAATTTATGTGAAGATGGAAAAGCTAGAAATCATGATAAAGCTTGCTTCAGACCGCAATATAGACCAGGTACTATATATATGTATGTATGTATGTATGTATGGATTGGGGAAGACTAAGCACACATGCATCTTTTTCTTTTTTGAGCTGATGAGAAATCATGTAGGTTGTGTTGTCCTTGTGCTGAGCAATTTCCAGGTTCTATTAGAGTTCAAAGAGTATGCCACAGAAGTAGATGTAGATTTTGTTAGAAAGGCTGTTCGGGCCATTGGCCGTTGTGCAATTAAGTTAGAGAGAGCTGCTGAGCGCTGTATCAGTGTTCTCCTAGAGCTGATCAAGATTAAAGTAAATTATGTGGTTCAAGAGGCTATCATAGTTATCAAAGACATCTTTAGAAGATACCCTAACACGTAAGATACAGCTTCTGTTCCCTTGATGCCTTATAAAGGTGAAGTTCTGTTTTACTTTCCCCCGTCCATACTTAAATATGAATTTCCTTTGCAGTTATGAATCAATCATTGCAACCCTCTGTGAGAGCTTGGACACTCTTGATGAACCTGAAGCTAAGGTACATGTGTTTCTACTCCAGGCTTTTCGTTCATGTTTTATTGTCTGAACTCATACTTTATCTGCCTTATATTCTACCCCTTTTTTTTCTCTCCCCTTTAAGGCTTCAATGATCTGGATTATTGGTGAATATGCTGAAAGAATTGACAATGCTGATGAGCTCCTGGAGAGCTTCTTGGAGAGTTTTCCTGAAGAGCCTGCGCAGGTCCAGTTGCAATTACTGACTGCAACTGTCAAGCTCTTCCTTAAGAAGCCAACTGAAGGACCCCAACAGATGATTCAGGTTTTAGTCTTGTGTTTACTCACGTGTTCTTTATATCTGATACAAAGTGGATCTTTATTCCATATTCATTTGACTTTTCATTGTCCTTTAGAATTTTCAGTCCTCTGTTTGGTACCTTTGATGTGACTCGAACATGATCTGTCCTTTGGTTGTTCATAACTAATGTAATTCAGCTACACTTGCAGAAATGTCTTTGAGTCAATTCTCACCTCAGGAATTCTCTTACAGGTGGTTTTGAATAATGCCACCATGGAAACTGACAATCCTGATCTAAGGGATCGTGCATACATATATTGGCGTCTGCTATCAACTGATCCTGAGGTGTGATTTTGCTATTGAAGAACATATTTTCTGTTTTGTTAGATTAAATGCATGATTGCATGTGTATTTTGGATGTACTGCTTGTAAGTTTTATGTCATGTGCGATGGGTGTAATTTGACGTTTCAGGCAGCTAAAGATGTTGTGTTAGCTGAGAAGCCTGTGATTAGTGACGATTCAAACCAGCTCGATCCATCTCTTCTTGATGAGCTTCTTGCCAACATTTCGACTTTGTCGTCTGTGTATCACAAGCCCCCAGAAGCATTTGTAACCCGTGTAAAGACTGCAGTACAGAGAACTGAAGATGATGAATATGCTGAAGGTAGTGAAGCAGGGTATTCTGAATCATCTGCCCATACTGCTGATGGTGCTGCATCGCCACCTACTAGTGCAAGTAATGTTCCATATGCTGGAGCAAGGCAACCAGGACCTGCACCATCTACAAGTCCACCTGCTGCTGCTCTGCCGGATTTGATGGGTGATCTGTTGGACATGGATAATAGTGCTATGGTCCCTGTTGACCAGCCTTCTATTCCTGCTAGGTAAGCTTCCTGACTGTACAAACTGTCCTATCAACCTTTTTTCAATTTGTTGAGACTGGTATGGGGTCATTCGGCTGCAATGCTGATTTGCATAGCTTTGTTGAGAACTTGAAGCAGATTTATCTAATACTGAATTTCTCATGATTCACAACATCCCTACTGTTAGGCTATAAATGTTACTTACTGAATCTTGTGACCATGTTGCAGCCCTCCTTTGCCTGTTTTACTGCCAGCAGCCACTGGTCAGGGTTTACAAATCAGTGCACAGCTTACTAGGCGAGATGGTCAGATCTTTTACAGTTTATTGTTTGAGAACAACTCACAGATTCCCCTGGATGGATTCATGATCCAGTTTAACAAGAACTCGTTCGGTCTTGCACCTGCTGGACCTTTGCAGGTAATGCTTAACCTTGATTTGTTTCAAGATAGAATTTTTGATAATTTAATGTGTAATTGACAAACTGTTATTGATTAGGTTCCCCAATTGCAACCTGGGACATCAGCAGCAACTCTGCTGCCTGTGGCTTTGTTTCAGAATATGTCTGCTGGTCCTCCAAGCTCGCTTTTGCAAATTGCCGTGAAAAATAATCAACAACCTGTATGGTATTTCAATGACAAAATCTCATTGCATGTATTCTTTACAGAAGATGGGAGGATGGAACGTGGAAGTTTTCTTGAGGTAAAAAGAGAAAAGGCTTGACCAATTTTTCTTGGACCAGCTTTTATTTTTTGTGCTAAAAAGTTGATGAAATACTTAAATTTGTGACATTTGATCATTGGAGACTTAGTTTAAAATCATTCTCTTTATAGCCCGCGTGCTAGTATGGGAAATGTTAATGAATTATCGAGCGATTAGTCACTCCACTGAAGTCTATTTTATTTGCGGTGTTGTGAGATTGCGTTTTAGTTGTGGTGTGTCTTCCCCTTTTAAATTCAGAAAAGGAAAGACCGGAAAGAAATTTGTGGTAGGGAAATGCTATCTTAGGACTTGGGATTAGTTGGGTATTCACATGTCTGATTCTAATAAAACTCTTCAGGGAAGAAATTCAGAGACCTCACAAGCAGATATCATTTGATTAGCTATTTTTGCTGTAGCTATTGAAACCTAATATCATATGTTTTTATTTCCATTTCAGACATGGAGGTCCCTTCCTGATTCAAATGAGGTCTCAAAGGACTTCCCAGGCATTACCGTGAATGGTGTAGAAGCTACTATAGACCGGCTTGCTGCATCAAACATGTTTTTTATTGCAAAGCGAAAGCATGCAAACCAGGATGTATTCTACTTCTCAGCTAAAATGCCTAGTGGAATTCCTTTCTTGACCGAACTCACAACAGTTGTTGGCATCCCCGGGATCAAGTGTGCCATCAAGACTCCAAACCCTGAGATGGCAAATCTTTTCTTTGAAGCCATTGAGACCCTCCTTAAGGGTTGATTGAAGGTTCTGCGTCTTCATCTTTTTTTCTCCTTTCTTAAATATTTACAATTTTTGGTATCTTTTTTTCTCCTTTCTTAAATATTTACAATTTTTGGTTTATATTTGTAAAATCCGTATTGTTTGGTGAGGTTTTGATTGATCATTCTGGCTGCCTTAGTTTGTTTCTTCACTCCACCTTGTATTATTTCGCACTCTATTCTTTGGTTGTATTGAATCTGTTATATCTCCACGGGGACTCAAACTTGTGTAATTTTTAATCATCCCTGGAAACTTGAGTGTAATTGCCACAGCGAAAAAAAGATTTTTGAGGGGTTTTCCTCTGGTCAGAGTTGCCAGGTTGGGAGAAATGCTTTTAATTATCCTTTGATATTTTAACTTTTACCTAGGCTTGTGTTTCGCAATCTACGAAGAAGGCATAAAATCAGTGAGAGCATTGTATTGGATGGAAGATTGATATAATTTATACTTTCTCATTTCTATTTTGCAAAAGACTCCCACATACTCTCATATTATGAATTCTGTGTACTCGATTACTTTTCAGGTTTTGTCTGATCATTTATAGCAAGCACCCTTCAAGGATTCAAGGAGGAACACCAGTCCTCCAACGTTTTGTCGTCGTAATTACAGGTTATAATTTTCCTGGAACGAAGGGCAATTCAGGCCTCCTGGGAAGGAGAGATAATATGGAAAAGGGTAAAGAAAACCCATCACTCTCAGAAAACTACGTTCGCCGCCCCAATTTCTGAAGACGATAATTAAACTCGAGACAAATTAAGGAAAGAGAGCGAAAGGTGTTTTGTTTTATTAATGATTTTTAGGGACTTTTGTGGGCACACCTTTAGTTTTAAGAAGGAAAATAAAAAAACGTAATGATCACACGGCATCTCATCGCACTTGTAATATTGGGTGCGAAACCGAATTAATGATAAGTCATGTCATTCATAAACCACGGCGGGATTCGAGTGCCAATCCGAGGTGCTTAAAAAACAAGAGAATCTGTACCCAAATCCAAAAAATAGGGAGTCACTTCTTGAAAAGAAAGGGCTTCTTGCACGTGTAAATCACGTTCTCACTTTCGCAGTTCAGTGACTGTTTGGGAGTGTAAAATTTATATCAAAATAATATATTTGATTTTTTAATATTAATATATTATTTAAAAATATAAGTAGGATTGATTTTTTAAAAAAGTAATTTTTTTAAGATATTATTATAGCTTAATCACCGTAATAGTGGTTGAGTTCAGAGCGCATAGCACGGGGGGAGAGAGAGAGAGAGAGAGAGAGAGGAAGACCCGTAAAACCTGTGTGCAAGTTCAGCCAATAACTCAGGTAATCAAACTCGAGATCTAGGGTTTCCCTTTCGAATTTCAAGTTTATTTCTTCCTGTATGTAACGTTGATGGATCTCTGTTTCTTTCTTATGTTAAACTTAACAAATATGGTTTTTTACTTCCTCGCACTAGCTAACTCTGTATCATATAATTAACTTGCCTTTTTGCTTGTGTAAATTAATGAATGGTTTCTTGTATTTGTGTTTTCCTTTTCTATTTGGTAATATTTGTAGATGGCTTACTCAAGAGAAGGAAGGTGAGTCTTTATCTTAATGATCTCGCTCTCTCTCTCTCTTAATAATTTACTACTACTACGATTATTGTTATTGTTGTGAGTATTAGTATTGAGTTGTTTACCTTAGGTCTGTTTCACCACGCAATTCGGGTTCACCTGGTAGGGGCAGGCGGTCAAGATCCTTGTCACGGTCCCGCAGAAGTCGCTCCAGGTAATTTGTCGACTTCTTCTTTTTCTTCCTCTTCTTCTTCTTCCTTCTTGTGTGTGTTTGTGTCTGCATGTGAGTGTGTTTTTGTGAGATTTTGAGTTATGGTTGATTGTGGTACTTCAGGAGCAATGATTCTGGTGATGCATCGAACCCTGGAAACAACTTATATGTAACTGGATTATCAACCAGGGTTACGAGCAGTGATCTTGAGAAGTATTTTAGCAGTGAAGGGAAGGTATAGTTGTGGCAAAATCTTTTATCGTGTGTCTTGATTGCGTTATCGTGGCATGCTATAATCAAGTAATCTTGTTTGTGGAATTCTGAAACATGACTGCAGTTGTACAGGCTGGCATTGATGCGTGTGTTGCAGAGTCAAAAACTCTTTAGGGAAGAACTACATTTCTGGATTTGGAAAGGAAATTTTAAATTCTGTGGTTATGGATTTTGAAGATGCTGATGTGATATTGTACCATGATGTGGTGGTCATGCATGCTATTCATTATCTGATATTCCATCCTTTGCTTCATCCTGTTCAATTTCTAGTGTTTATTTATTTTGGCTCCTCTTTCCATGTAGCAAGTTTCCAGTTTGAAGGAGAAACAGCTTAGGACCTACCACTAGTTCTCATTTACAATAAGAAACCATATTATGTTGAAGTGTGTTATCCAAGATTTTTTATACCAAAAAAACAAACATTATTCTAAGTTATGGTTTCAGGTTTTGGAGTGCCATCTGGTGACAGATCCTCGAACTAGAGAATCTCGTGGATTTGCTTTTGTTACGATGGAAACCGTTGAGGATGCTAACCGTTGCGTCAAGTATTTGAATCGTTCGGTGCTTGAAGGACGAGTGGTTACTGTGGAAAAGGTACTGTTCCCATCAATGGATTTTGAAGGGAAACATGTAGGACGACTGAATTGTTTACCTATCTTCTTTTTTTTTTTTTTTTTTTGAAGATGTTTATTCCAAAAATGTTACCTGATAAGTTTTGCCAGCAGGTCTGGTATATGTAACTCCATCGACTTCACAGTCTAAGGTCTTAACAGTTGTACCTATTCCTTCACGAACCACGACATGAGTTCTGCATCAACATTTCAATCTCATCGATTCAAATCCGACTATTTTGCGGAGGGTTGTATGCCCTATATTCGTATACATCACTAATAAAAATACCTGACCTGGTTGGTTGCTTATTTTTTATTTTCCTATGTTGAAATAGTGCTGGACAAGTATACTACTCCCAGTGTATTAGTTTCCTCTTGTCATGTATATTCTAGTGAAAGCTGCTGTCATGTTTACTAAACAAATAATGATGAATAATGACCCCATGTCCTAAGTGCTAGTCAACATGAGCCATGATGGCGAGAGTAGCAAGGCAACACTCTAAAAAATAAAATACTTGCAGTGGTCCAGACATTGTTTTCAAGGATTATTATGGCTGTTCCAGATGAAAATTCCTAGTCACCTTTAATACAAATGAGTTTCAAAGGGCAGTACATGGGAGGCATTGTAGCTCATTTCAGTTAATCAACCTCTTCTCTTCATTCACCAGTCTTCCTTGATACAATTCCGTTTGCTTCTGCTTTTAATGCAGGCAAGAAGAAAGCGTGGTAGGACACCAACACCTGGCAGGTATCAGGGACTGAGAGATAAGCGAGGTATGCATCAGTGCTATGCATATGTGGCAATTCTTTTATCAACTGAATATAATATGTGAATGTCGGGTCACTTTGATGTTTACTAGAGAATACTTGGGTCAGAATTGAATAACCTTCTTTGAATCTTGGGTTCTTGTTGATACCTTGACTTCTGTTTTTCTTACCTGCTAAGCTAGCATGACATTTGTATAAGGGTTATGTGGCTTATTTTTCTTACCATTCCAGTCCTAGATATGCATTTCATTGTATGATTGTGCCTGACCTGGAAAGCTGAGGCTATTTGTTCTCCTTTAATTTATACTCGTAGGTGTTGCATTTCACTTAGCATTTTCTTTGGTAGGTTCAAAACAGATTGAACATGTGCCAAACTTGGAATTGCTTCTTATCTTTCAGTCGCTATGATCATCATTCCAGCAGATTGACAATCTTAGATTTAAGAAAGCCATGTCATTTTCCTTCAGAAATTCGCATGGTTAATCCAAGTCCCACTCCTATTTTTTGAGGCATGCAAGCTCACTATTTCAAATATCAAGAAAATGAACTCTTTTATTTATTTGAGTGCTTTTATTTTTTACCCTAGGCAAGATCTTGTGATTTTTCATCAAAGACCCAAGACATTGCAATTGTTTCTGCTTTATTGTGATCAACTGTTTCTTCCTATTATTATTCTTGTATAACTATTGGGTTCAAAACATGCAGGTCATGGTCATGGCCACAGACGGTCCCGCAGCTACTCACCTCGCCGATGGGATGACAGAGATAGGGACCCTTATTCAAGGGATCGAAGGGGAAGATCACGTTCTCCATATAATAGGCGGGGAGATGGTTATTATTATGATTCATATAAGAGGCGCAAGGATCGCTCTTTGTCAGCTGACCGCGGCCACCACAGATAGGGCAAGTCATTTGGTAGCCAGTATTAACCACTTTTGCCCTTGGTTATTGAAGCTTGATTTTGATTCTCATGGAAGCATTAACTCATTGTGTCAGTCACCCATCCCTGCTCCATCTTTCCTGGTTTGCTTGCAACTTCATGTACTGTTTACATTTAATGGTAACTTGTTTTCCACAAGTGACGCCTGAACATACTGAAATGTTGTTAAAAAAACGGTTGTAGGATAGGAACCATTTATCATTTTCTTTTGATTTCAAGTAATAATGACTGTTGGACGTGGATAATCCCCATACGGTAGACCCAACAAATTCCATACAGCTAGACCCAGCAAATGCCTTTCATGCTCTATAAACTTGATGGAAGTTTGGATAGGGAATGACCCCCCATGGATGATATGCATTGTCAATGAATCTGGTATCAATCTTGGCCCATTTCCAATTAAATGCAGCCTAGCTGTATGGAAACCTGCCCCATCAATGGACGAGACACTGATTGGTACTATTGGAACTCGGTGTAATGATGAGTGGGGTAACTGTACTTCAGATCAGAAGCAAAAGCTTTTTATGCTCTCACAGAATTTCTTCTCTGCTTTACGTGCGTATGTTCGAGTTTGGTGTAACATGCGTGTGGTTTGATTTCTTGATTCTTTCATGAATTTTAGGAGAGGAGCAAAGAGAACTTTTTAGCCCGGAACACATTCTGCCACCATATGCCTACTTTTCTTAGCACAGAGTGCCATCCTTACTTATCCTCCACTTTTTTGAACCGAACCTATAGTTCTGTCCCAGGAGAGAGAACTCTGCAGCAAGTTGAAACTTTAGATACACCATCTGCAATCCAACAATGCATGTATTTCTTCTTTTTTTTCCTTTGTTGATTAATAAGGTTTGTTGACTTTTCTTTATTGTAAAACACCAGGAGTCTAGGCGAGTCATTATAATTGACCTGGTAACCACTACAGCAACTTGCTATGTATATTATTGTGATAATGACTAACAATAATTACAGAAAACTCTAAATCATGGGGGCGGGGGACCGTGTCCACTGTATGTCAAGATACAATTACGAGGGTGGGGGTTGACGTTGTCATGATGCCCTTTGATTGAAAAAAATAGAAACCTTTGATGTTGGGATATTTTAGTCTTATATATGCCCATTGATAATTAAAAGATTGGAAGGTGCTATGTTAGTCTTTTTAATTTTAATTATACAATTAAAAAAAAACTAATCAATTAAAATCAGAGTTTTTAACTAAGGGTTCTTTTATGTGTCATAAACTTTTGATTGGTAAAAGTACTTCTTTACCCTGATCTTTACCTTGAAGATCAGAAAATAATTGATAATTGAGTTGTTGATCAAGAGCATTTTGAGGTTTTCATTCCATGAGCTCCATGAAAAATACACATGTACTTTATATTGAGAGATGTTTTGATATTTTGATATTGATTTATTTTTTATTTTCAGGTTAATGAGAGGTGTTTAAGTAATTTTATAAAAAAAAATTATTTGAAAAGGTTACAGTGCAAATTTAATCATTCATTATGTTCTTAAAAGCATCATGACATTCTTTTTTTTTTTTTGTGTAGCATGTAATGATAATTGATGGATTGTTTATCGTGTTTTTTTTTCTCTCTCCAAGAGTAAGTATATGTATGTTCTCTTTCCTTCTTTTTTTTTTTTCAATTCCAATCCTTATGTTTTGGATGGCTTAATTTTGTTTTTATCCTTTTACAAAAAAAATTTATAATTTCAATTCAGTTATTAAATTATAATTTGTAATATATTATTTTTTCAAAAATAATCTTTATTATTTTAATTTTTTATTTTAATCCTTGGCTCTTTTATTATAGTCTTATTGGTTTTCAATAATTTAATTTTTATTCATTTATGTCTTCATTTGCCAAAAAACTATTGCAATATTTTATTTAGAAAACTCTAATAATACTAAATAAAAAAATAAATTAAGAAAAAGTATTCCATTCAAATAAAAGAAAAAAAAGCATCTTAAAAAATTTTTAAAACAATATTTTAAAAAAGTTCATGCTGCAAAAAAATATTAGAAAGGAATCCATTTTTTAAAAAATAAATTTTCAGAAAATTCACTTTAAAATCTAAATTCTAAATATGGAAATGCAATGTTTATTTTCAACAAAAATTTATTCGAGATTATATTTGATGAACAGATGAGATTGAACGGAGTGACCAATAATAGATTTTTTTCTAACTAATAAAATTACATGGCGAATACTATTTATCAAGGAATGACCTTTGATTCCTATTTCAAGAGTAGTAATCAAAATAGCCATGACAAAACCAAGAAAAATCACGTGTTATGGGTGTGAAAGATACTAAATAAATAAATAGGAGGACGAGGAGGAGAAAAAAATAAACGGACCAAAAAAAGTAGGATATAAAAAATAAGAGAGCGCGTGGAGGGCGTGGGGGAAGGAGAGCGCGCTCCCGCTGCAAGGGCGGACTTGAAATCAAATTTCAAATTTACGCCTTTTTTTAAAAAAAAATCTTATATATATATTTTTTTTAAAAAATTCATTACTAGATTGGCATAGTAATTAAAAGAACTTCACAGAATAATATTATTTAATTTTTTTAATAAAAATAAAATTTAATAAATATCACACTTTCAAAAAAGCAACATTTAGTAAATGACTCGCTTTCCTCACGCTTAGAAAGCGCGTAAAATAATTGTCGTGCTTGTAGTTGAATTTACGCAGAGATGCCCTTCTCCTCTCCACAGCCAAGTAACAGAGTCGATCAGTTTTCCATGCATGGCACAGGCATTTACTCCCTTTTGCCCCTTAACTGGCTTTTCTAAATGAGTCGCTTGTTTTTTCTTTCTGTTTTCATGGGAAATAAAATAAAGAGAAAAATTTAGCCAGGGACACACTGTAACTTCAGTAAACGTAACAGCTCAAGTCCCCATCAATGGACATTCCCCTTTAAGCCATCAGGAGGACCGAACAAGCCCTACAAGAAAATGGTGAGGTAAAAAGTACAGGTTTGTTTTTGAAAAGTAGTTTTTAAAAAATATTTTTTTAATTTTTTTATATTTATTTTTTATTAAAAAAGTTGGTTAATAGAAAATACTTTTTAGTTAATAAAAAATACTTTTAGTAAAAAAAAATTTGATTTAGTTTGTAGGAAAGTATTTTTCTTTTATACTGTGTTTGTTTTTTAGAAAGTGGTTTTTGGAAAAAGAATTTCCAAACATTTTTATATTTGTTTACTATAAAAAAAGTTGATCAACGGAAAACACTTTCCAGTAAAGAAAAATTTGACTTGGTTTTCAGAAAAGTATTTTCCTGAAAAATTTGAGTGGAAAACATTTTTCGGAAGTTGTGAAAAATTTAGAAATATCATTATTTACTACTTATATTAAATTTGATCCTCAAACATTTAATTGCTATATATATATATATATATTATTTTAAATATTTTTTTTTCAATTTTATTTTTAAAATTTTATTTTTATATTGACTTTGGTTCTCATCTTGATTATTATTTATTTTATTTGAGATAATTTATGAAGTTATATTTTTTTTAATTTTATTCTTATTCAACTTTTTAATTTATAAAATTTATTCCGTATTGTTTTAATAAACTTGAGAAAAATAAAATATTAATAAATTATTTTTTAATTTATTTTTTATAATACTACTAAATATCAAAAAATAATTTAAAATTTTAAAATTTACTTTAAAAAAAAATCACTTTCCTACAAAAATATAGAACCAAAAAATACCTCAAGAACCTTGCAGTAACTATTGGTGGAAATGCAGCAGATGAGTGTAGTCAGTTAATGCTAGAAGGAGAAGAAGGTAGCCTCGAGGCCCTAAAATGCTCACTTAATTTTTAATTAATATTGTAGTTTAAAAGCATGACATTTAATATATATAAAGGTTTTAAACTGTAACAAATAAAAATATGCTATTTCATCACATCCTTTTATTGTGATGTTAATTCATCTATTTTAAAAAGAAATTATATGATAATTACCCAATTTGTCTCTCTTTGTGTTTGTATTTGATATATTTTAAGACAACTTTTACTTGCATGGGCAAGACCCGTTAGTCTTTGACACTTATATTTTTTTTATTTTCTTTTTAGTATAGGTGTGATTGTTTTTTAAAATATTTTTATATTAAAATATATTAAAATAATATTTTTTTATTTTTAAAATTAGTATATTAAAATGATAAAAAATATTAAAAAATTAATTTTTAACAAAAAAAATATTTTTTTCTGAAACACAGTTATAACTTGTTTTCAAACATTCCCTACATTACTAGTCACAAACCACCAACATTCTCAATTAAATAAAAAAATAGATTATTAAAGAGTAAAATTAAAAATAAAATAGATTAAAAAAATAAAATATTATTATAATAAATAGTATTTTATGGATGGAACTACAATGATTTAACTATATGCTTAGTATTTTTGTTAATTAATAAAGTAAGTTACTACTTTGCGCTATGCTACAAATCAAGCTATTTTTTAACACAAAAAAAAAACTAAATGACCAAAAATTAATATATGAACGGGGATTAAGAAAAATATGACACTATGACATATGGAATTTATCTAGATCAATTCTAATTAAGTTGCCATACTCATACTCATACTCATGATCCGATCCTTCTAATTAAGTTGCCATACTCATACTCATGATCCGATCTTAAGATCATGATAAACCTTTAAAAAATAAATCAAAATCAATTAATCATACATAAAGCAAACCAAAACATATAATGAAGTATAATTAAAATGTGTTTTTTTTAGAAAAATATTGAGATAATAGTATATTGAATCGGCATTCATTTCATGTTTTAACTCGTTAAATTTGTGACCCAAGTCACTGACTTTATTAAATTAAATAATTTTTTAAAATTTATTTTTATCTAAATATGTGATACCAAAATTATAAAATTCTTTTTTTGAAAAAATAATTAAAATATAAAATTTAAATTACAAATTGAATGAAAAAAATAATAATATATTAGATCGATCTAAGTTTTATAGCTTAATTTGTTAAACTTATAACTAAAATTACGGACTTCATTCAATTTAATAATTTTATTTTTAAATTTTTTTTTTATCTAAACATATGATAACGAAAATATATAAACTTTATCGCTTCTCTCTCAACCTTAAAGATAAAAAAATAAGTAAAATAAATTTTTAGATTAAAATTAATTTTTTAAAAAACTATAGGGAAGGATAAAATAAATTTTTTGAAATAAAATACCCATGTATTTGGATGGGACGTGTAGAGCCCCATCGCCACCCAAAAAAAAAAAAAAACTTTATGTTTACTTGCAATCTTCAAAAATATACATACAACATAAAAT